GAGCAGGCATCAGAAATGTTTATGCTCTCCCTGCCCACAGGAGACTCCCTGGTTTTTGCTTTTTTTTTTTTTTCCACTGAGAGTAGCCAAGGGAGAAAAAGGATGAGGTTGAGACATTCATAGGCTACTTGTGCTGCTGCTGAGGTAGCTCCTAACTTGTGATTTAGTAGTGAAATAATGATGTGCAATAATTTAGAATGGTCTCTTTTTCTTCTAGTCGTAAATCTTCTTTCTTGGGAAGGAAAGGCAAGATGTCTTGCTTTCTACTTGCTGGATTCTGTCCATGTTTAGGTGGTTTGAATACAGGAGATAACTGTTGATGCAAATGCACAACTCTTCTACTCTCCCTCTATCATCATTTCCATCTGTGCCAGCAGCAGTTTTGCATAAATCCTACAATACTTATGCATACAGAGAACTGAAATGGTCCTAGGAAGCATCTCTAGGATAAAGCTTCAGGCAAACATGCCAAATAGTTTTTGGTTTGTTTTTTTTTTTTTTTTCTTTTTCTTCATGAAACTAGATGAGTCTTGGATTTTTTCTCCCTGTCAGGTCTGCCACAATGAGGCTTCTTTTTCCTTTGAAAGGGATGCATAAGCATTTTTAGCCGTGTTGCTGAGTTACCCAGTCAAGATGAATGCTGCAGAATTTGTAGCTTTAGCATCACTGGAGAGGACTCACCACGTCATCGGCTTTTTAAATGCAGCTTGAAAGTGCGAATTCAGTTCTGTAGTTTTTAAGCTGCTTCAAAAAGCAAAACTGGATACACAGATTCAAGCTCACACCTGCTTTCATACCTGCTGACTTGTAGGAGCAACATGAGACAAGATGTGTCTCATCTACTAAGCAACAAAGCCTTTTATGTTTTTTTTTTGAAGTGACTAAGTAGTCCGATACTTTTGAAGTTCTAGGAAGCACTATGGAAAAGTTATGGCACTTATTTAAGGGTTTGAATATGCAATTAAGTATCTAATCTTGAACCTGCACACTCAATAATATTGGACTTTGCTATGAAGTTATTTCCTTTTTATGGTGTCTGCCAACTGCTGAAGTATGCATTAGTACATTTGACATATTAATGCATTCTAGTGATGGTGGTACCTGATCAAGCAGTGGCCAGATGATCAGAAAATAGATGTCTGAGGTAAAACGAGAGACTGCAGTAAACAAGGGGAAAGTGCTTGCCTTCACCATGCGCTGATGAGTGAAATCCCTGTCCTCCATCTGATTTGAAAAACTGGACTCAGTTGGTGAAGCCTTTACAGTCTTAGGACCCAGCAGTGCCTCTCATTGACTACCACACGCATTATTTTCTTCGCTCTTTTTTCCCCCCTCCCTTCCTCAGAGTCATTGTGTTCCTGTAATTCTAAATAAACATATTCTGACTTGCTCATAAATCAAAACCAAATACTTAGCTGTTACTAATACACTCTAGCATACCTGGTTATAACGAGATACAGGCCTTTCCCAATTGCTGAACGGAGCTTTCTTCCTTGTCTTTCAGCTGATCTGTAGCAGTGAAGGTAGCTGTGTACTGCCTGTGCACGCAGAATTACTGTGGGCACTCCCCAGGTACTGCAGTTGCTGGTCTTTGCTTTACAATATTGCATACCTATCACTCACTTGCCAGATTCTGTACACTAGATGCTCATTGAGATGTCATTTGAATATAGTCCAGTTATTCCCAGTGGGCAGGTTTGCTATCAGATCAGCAGGAAAAGCATCGTTCTTGGCTCCAGTGGATGCACAAGTGTCATCCAGTTTGTACTGATCTGTTGAACAGCAAACATGTAATGTAGGGGACAGTCAGAATATTACAAGACAGGCTTTTAACACTGCAGAAGCTATCTCAGTATTTAACATGCTGAGAAGACAAGTTATTCACAAAAGACTTGTCTAGGTGTCTGTGTTCCTTTGACTCCTGAGGTATTTTGTAGATGCTGACGGCCAGCATGAACTTTAAATCAATTTAGTGCATATGTTTACATATGCAATAAAACCATTTGCCATATCATTTAACTACACACGGAGTGAATTGTTGACCATGAGCTGATCTGACCTTTTCAGGTCTAATCAAGAAATCTGAAATACTATTTCAGCCTGTCAGCTCCAGTAATATGCAGTAAGAGTATCTGGATCTAACTGAAAATGTCAGATGTGCTCTAATATGCAACCCATCAAAATTACGATGCATATGAACCAAGAACTGGTTAAGAATATAAATCTGTAATATCCGTGGTGCATCTCAATTGCTTAGATAAATTGTTCTGCCATTGGTACGGGCTAGCTAAAAACATACATTAAAAGCTGTGCTTTGGAATACATGTGAGGTGTACAGCTGCTTAAATATGAAAATTATCTTGAAAGACAGGTGTTAACACCAGGTTAGAATATTTCCGGAAAAAAACAGTGATCTGTGAGAATACCAGTGCTCTAATGAATGTTTTGCTAGCTTCGTTGTGTGGTAATGTAAGATTAGAGGTGTCATGTAACCTCAATTTTCCTTTTTAATAATTTGCTGCTTACGAAGTTTTTACTCTTTTCAGAAATAATCGGTTATATAAGATGAGGTGTCCATATCAGTCTTATGTGTTGAATTAAGTATTAAGCATTTTTCCTAGTCTTGTGCTTTTTATGAAAAAGTCTACTTCTATTTTTAAAACCATTCCAAGAAACAACACTGTCGTCAGTAGGTTATGGTGTTTAATGATGTGTAATTTCTTTGTTTTCTTTGTCTCATTTAAGAAGTGTCTGTTCTTGGTATTTTACTAGATATTCAGATCTATGATAACTCTGTCTTTAATAATTATTTATCAAGCATGAAACCAGTTTTGGAATGATATAGTTAAATTTGTATTAAAGTGGATGGGCACAATGAAAAGCAAATTTGTATCCTAAGAAAATGCTATTTTGTTAGCTAAAGAGTCTACCAAGATTAATCTTAAAGCAAATGTTACGCTAAAATTGAGTTTGTTTTTAATCTAATCATGGGTAGTTTGTGCAATCTGAGGCATAATTAACTGAATTGCTACTATTAGTAGAATGTTGCTGGAACTAGAAGTAAAATGAACTATGGGAAGCATTGCTGAACCAATAACTTTGCATTAAAGAATAGTGTATATTTTAAACTACCCAGTTAATCCTATATGACCTGTTCTTGTGAGGCAATGCTGCCCTCCCCTGGTATGCTGCGGAAAGTAGAAATTTTTATCCAGGTCGGAGCAAGTTCTAGGGCTTCCTATTAATGAGAAACTGCTGGGTTAGTGAAAACGGTAGAAAAAATGTTCTTAAAAAGACCATTATGTGCCTTCTCTATTACAAGACACATATAAAAGTGTAACAGACATTTGTGCAGTGCTTTTTATGTATTCATGGTACAGACGTGGATACATGTACAAATAACATATACTGTGAACACACAAGACAACAAATTGAGGGCTGAATTAAGTTTGAGTGACAATTTGGAGGATGAATCAAAGACAGAATAAACAGATACCAGGTAACTGCTGAAAGTTAACAGGACCAATTACCATCAACTATTATTTAACAGTATAATTTTGTCTTGTATATAATGATTAGAGATTTATCATTAATGTTTACATGTTTGATTCTGCCATAGAAAAGTAGATGGGACTACTGCCAACAATTTACATGGGAATAGGATTAGCTCTTGAGCAAATGAAGCTATAGCAAAACTGTCATCATCTCTCAGGGGCTACGGATTACAAAGATACCACCACAGGCTCAGGAAGTCCCTCCACTGTGCGTTCCTGAGAGCCGAGGAAGGTTGTCCAAAGAAATACTACTATTGCATGGTCTATCCTTCATATATTTCTTCAGACATCTGTTATTAACTACTGCTGGAGACAGAATATTGGGGTAGAAGGTTTTTGAGATTGTCCAGCTGTGGCTGTTGTCTGTTAAATCCTTCCATTTCTCACTGCTGGGCAGTGACAGTCCAGACAGCAGAAAGAGGTGAGCCTTGTTTCAAATACAGGGATTTTAGTTCCCACATCTGACTCCAGTAAAGTGTGTGTAGTGGGGTTTGGTTTTCTTTGTTTGTTTTTAGTGTATGAGATAACCCTTTCTTTTTATAATTCAGATGTTTCTAATTGCTGGACAGCTTGCAAAACACAACTTTTCTTCCTGTGGCATATGACTTGACTTCTGTTTTGTTTGCTCCTTATTTCTGTTAGTGCATTGGAGGTCACCTAACACTAGAGAAAACTGGAGAGAGTATGTTAAAAAATCTGGTTTATGTATTTCTTCATGTCTTAGACATGAACAGTTTGCCAGATTAGAGTTGTTTTCCCCCAGACTGGTTTGCTTGAACATGAGCTCTTGTCTCCTACTTGGGTCAGGTCACCTGGGAGATGTTTTAAGAACTGTGGAATATAATGACATTCCCAACTTGACCTGCTCTGGTCCAGCAGCATGTTACATTGGTGATGGCTGTTGCTATTTTACTACTACCTTTTACAATAAGGTCCTAGGAGTTGTTTTGTGTCTCTGGTGCCTGCCAGCCCATCGAACAGTTGTGGAACGTTTGTAGCTGGGGTTTAGTTCAAGTTACCTGTGACTGTGGCAGACAGGACCTGGAGATCCCAGTGGTGCTTCACAGGCATCTGTTTCTGAAGTGACTTTGCTGGCTGCAAAATAGTAGTGTTTACATTGATGCATGTGAGCTAGTAGTCCATAATAAGCAATCCTTTTGAGAGCTAGCGGTAAAACCACTGCAAGTGTGGCTCCATCCATAAAAGGTGACCTAAACCAACACCGAGATGTCTTGTTCTGCCTTTTCCTTTGTGACACCTTGCCACAGCAAAACCGCTTTTGTACGTCGTTATTTTTTGTTCTATTAATATTCTGTCGGTGTAGCATCCCAGCTCAGCTCATCAAATGGTTGTGTGAATGGCAGTGGTGTCATTCCTTGACCTAGAATGAATGTATGAGGTCTAAGACTGTGTAACAGTTCTTTTTCTTCTCTATGACTTTTGCAGGTATTGGGGCTGCTGGTGTGGACCCTGATAGCTGGAACAGAATACTTTCTATACCCAGCTTTTGGCTGGGTGATGTTTGTAGCTGTGTTTTACTGGGTTCTCACCGTCTTCTTTCTGATCATCTACATGACAATGACCTACACCAGGATCCCCCAGGTGCCATGGACCACGGTGGTAAATACATCCATTCTTTATTGTTTCAGTTTTGCTGAGTTATGAAAAGAATAAAACATTGATGCATTCTATAGGTGTAGTTAGCCAACTGTACTTGCTCTTGTTGCAGATTTTTCCGTAATTACAGTGTGGCTGCGTACCTGCAGTGTTTAACCTTCATACTACCCAGCCAGACACTTTTAAAACACTTTTCCTGTGATGTTTCACCATTTTGTTCAACAGTTGATGTAGTGACTTGATTTTTAATAATGTGGGTGTGACTGATACTTGTGTGACTGATACTTATGCACAGTGGCTTCTTTTTCTCCCTATAGTGATTACATCCCGTGAAGAATAAGTCTGTTGCTGTCTCTGAGCTAACAGACCTAGCCATATGGCTTAAACAGCAGAAATCCCTACTTGGAACAACACCATGAGTTGGAGGTGGGACCCTGGCTCTTAAAACATGAGTCTTCCTCTGCTAAAGTAAAAGCAAAGGTGGTTCAGAGGTAGCAACAGTCTGATGATCCACCTATGGCCTACTGTGAAAATGGTGCTGAAAATTGGTGTTATTTATATGTAAAATATGTGCCATGTAATCCTTTGCTTTTAGCTCAAGACTTAATGCAAATCAGATAAACAGCTAATGTAATTACAGAAACATTTCACAGGCACTTAAAATTCAGATCCGGTTTTTGTAGTTTGAACAAACCTAGCTAGCTGCACAGTATATTTTAACAAGATTTTCATAACAGGCTGGTGTTCAGGGTAATAGATCCTAAAAGTCACTGTCATCTCAGCCAACTGGCTATTTGTGACCAGTCCAAGAATTATGATAAATTTTAGCTTTGCATTTGTCTAACACATTAAAACCCTGAGGGTTTTTTTAATTAGCTAAAGATTATTGACTAGAGTTCTATTATTTTTATGATAAAATACATTTGAATTCTGTGTTGCAAACAGCTTATTATCAGCTATATTGTATACGTGACTAAAATGGAATAATCTTTTCTTTTTGCCTTCCTATTTGCTGCTGTAATAAACAGCCAGCTATAGCAATTACTAATAAGAACAACGAGGATTATGTTCAGATAGCTTCTCTGTTTTCAAGTTTCATGACCAGCAATTACCATTAAGGCTATAACACTGCTATAGAAATGTTGGATTATTTCAATTACAGCACTAATGTGTCTGAGTACATTTAAAGGTGTGGGTTGGTTGTGGTTTTTTGTTTTGTTTGTTTGGTTGGGTTTTTTTTCCTATTGCATTAGATGTAAGTAAAGTACATTCAAAGGGAAAGAATCTTTGTATCCATTTTGATACAGCTTTAGTCATTACCACTCTTTCATCAGTTTAACACCATTATCAGACAACAGCTTCACATAAATGAGTTGCCCCTGATCTATGTGGTAGACAAGCTGAAGCATTTGATTTGTTTCTACTTCATATTGAGTGTAGTTCTTGCTCTGAGTTCCAAACCTACTGTAGATAAGAGCACGCAAATGTAGGTCCAAAAGGTAGTCTCCTTTTATAGTAAAGGGTAATACGAAGAGAAAATAAATGCAAAATAAATAAAAGATGCTTGTGTTCCAGCCTGTTTTGCTCTAAGGTATTAAAAGAGCTGTTGGGAAGAGCCTTTGAACTGGACCTCTGCCACTCCTGGCTGGCCAAGAGGAATGTTTGGTCTCTTTTCAGAGAGATGTTAATGTCTTAATTCAAGAGAGCATGACACACACATTTCTGAGTGACACACACCTCTTCGAGTGAGTGAGTTTATGTCCACTTTCCCCTTACTCTCCAAAGTATCCTGAGTTTCAGTCTCTGCTAGTTATTGCTCTGCCTCCTTAGGCGACAGTTAGCTCAAACTGTGCCTGTTGTATACAGCATCCAAAATTACATCTGGACTTCTCTGTCATAAATTCACTTTTTGCAGGTTAAGCACATTATCAAATTGCTTAAGATGCAATTACTTTTACTGCAAATTAACCCAAAGGACGTGCTTCAAAACTGACTCTTCTTAACAGTGCAAGTTCTTTGCTAAAACAATCAATGGAAGCTTTTAAAATCTAGTAAATTTGAATTTAAGAAGCAGATGGTAATTTAGCATGAACCATTTGGTTTGAGTAATATATTGGCAGTAAAGGCCCAATCAGCTTGCATTGCATTTCATCTTCCCCAACAGTGTTATTTCCCAGAGCAGCACTTCTCAAAAATTATGTGCTTTTTTCTTTTCTACATGACAAGATATTGCAGGGATTTGTAGCTTTCCAAGGTAATTGAGTCTTTCTGGAACGGGAAATCTAAAAATAACAACAACAAACACTCTAAGCAATCAGATTTGGAGTTTGAAAATCAGTGCTTTACAGACGTTCACCTGAACCTGCCAATTGTTGTCATATTATCCTAAAATTGGCAGTTTGATATTTTATTACTGTAATGCCCAGATAAAACAAGAGAGGCGAGATTTGTGGATAGAGATAATACCTTTTATTAGATCGACTGATATAGGTGAGATAAACCCCACTCATTTATAAGTGTATGAATCAAACCTCAAGTGCCAGGCCTTGGACTCCAGCTGAGTGCTGAGGCACTGCCCACAGTTCCCTGCAGAAGGGTGGGTAAGGGGCTCTTTTCCAAATGCCCTGAAGTTGCAAGGACTTAGGAACCACAGGAGGACACGCATGCCCTTCAGCCTGCTCTGAAAACTCTAAGAAGGCTTTTTCAGTGGGTAGTCTCATAGAGGCAGTGGTGCCCTGAAGACTGACATGTTGACAGACGACAGCACAGCATACTGGTCTCTGGAGGGGCCTGCAGCTGAGAAAGCACGTGTTTGGGGAATGGCTTCCCCTCAGAAACTTTTGAACCCTGTGTGTCACTCCACTGTGTCTGCAGTAAACTCTGCCAGAACCCAGTGTCCTGGAGATGAAGTGGTTGGTGTGGAAGCTCCTCACATCCGAGCTGTCGATCCACACTTTGGTACACTGAGGGAATTGCTGATGTGGATACAGCTGTTGCCACTGCCTTCTGAACTTCTCTTCTTGGGCTGTGGCTCTTTTGTTAGATTCTGCCAGAGTTGGTGATTGGTGAATTCAGTAGTGAATAATTGGCACATATTCCTAACATCCACTGAGTCACACCATGGAAATTAGCAAGTTGGAGCTGCACCAGTATGGGAACATTTCCAGAAGACTGGGGCAACAGAGTTCAGGGTTATGATATTGGTGTGACACTCTGGAGTGCAAACATAGGGCCAGAAGCTGAAGGGTGCAGATCATGTGCATCATCAGGACCTGGCCGAAATTAAGTTACCAATTCCTGCAATTGTAACTATATGCAAAGCATGTCACCGGTATTCAGCTTAAACATGGCACCAGTGAACTAAAAGTATATTTTATGGCTAAATTCATATGCCTTAGACAAGGTAGCAGGGTAGAGGTTTGGGGAACTTTTTTTAAAAGTAAGTATGAACTTCCTATAGCCATGACCAAGTAGTGAGTAAAGGACAAAATATTAAAATTATATACTTTAAAAAGAAAGCCCTCATACCTTTTTATCCGTCTTTCACCTTCTTAGTCTCCCATTCTCCTTTTCTTGTCCTCTCTTACATGCAAAACCCAAACAAACTGTTTTTGTTTGTTCTCTGTAGTGTTTATGCGAGATCGAGATTGATGTTATCTGCTTTGCTTCTTTCTTAGTAATGAGCATCGGTACCCTGAGTCATTAACTCTGCTCCTTGGAAGAGAAAATGCAGCATCTGCCATGGATGGGTTTTGCTGACCCATTTAGTCCATTCAGACTGTTCTTCTCTTTCGTTTTATCTTGTTTCTTTCCCCTTTCAAAAACAGGCAGAAGGGAAAGGTACTGAAAGGTGGAAGAGTATGACTGAAAAAATTACATCCTCTTTATCTCCTCCAGAAGTGGAGAAAACAAAGTTTTGGAAGCTTTATAAATATTCTCCGTATGCCATGAGTTACTGATTCCTACAGCGTATCTTTGTGTAGATTAAAAATGTAATCAAATTGCAGTTTTGTTTTGGGTTTTTTTGTTGTGGTTGTTTTGGTTTGGTTTTTTTCCCCTCATGTAGTGTTGTATTCTTACTGCCTAACACTTAGATTGTGATAACCAAACCGCATTTTTATTTTCACTTTTGGAAAATCACAGCACACCAGCTTTAAGACTTTTCTGGATTTAGTGTGATGGAGAGAACAGTTTGTCAAAAATGTGCTTTAATGTTTATAGATCTTCAAAATAAGCAGTTAAATTTTAATCTTACAGATAGAAACTTGAAGGTAAAAATAGTTAAGAATCACATTGTGTACATGTCGTGCATATTATATTTCAGAGGAGAGTTTTGTAATGGTGGAATAGAAAATGGTAACAAATGCATGTGCATATTAAGTAATTAAGTTGTTTGGTTTTTCAACAGGGTCTGTGTTTTAATGGCAGTGCCTTCATTTTGTACCTCATTGCTGCCATTGTAGATGCATCTTCAGTTACCAAAGAACTGGACAGTCACAATTACAACAGCTGGGCAGCTTCTTCAGTGAGTTAATTTTTTGTTTAAATCAGTTCTATGTCAAATAAATCAAAAGAAAGCTCACTGGAAGTGCGGGTTGAAATGCATGTGTTCTGGATTTTGAAAATCTGCAGACTGATAAAGAAGCTCACACACAACGCCTATAGGTAGCTGTAATTTGGTTCATAGTTTTCTGAAGGTGACTAGAAATTCCACCAGATGACAACAGTCACATCAGAAAAGTCTGTAACGTTTTTAAGATCATACTGCTTTTCCCTTTCCCTGCCCCATTTATTACTAGGTCTCTGGCAGAGGTTGTAGCCTGCACATCAGAGTAGACAAAACAGATTGTGAGTGCCAAGTCACCTCAGTACACTTGGACAACTTCAAAAGCAGTTTAAAGTAACTCAGGTAACTTTACACGCATGTGGATAAGATGCTTTCAGCTTTTTGTGGGCTGAGCCATAGATGCAGCACCTTTGTGAAGGTCCTCAAGTGAAATTGCTGTTTCTACAGTGATCTTCCTATTATAGCCTCAACTTTTGATGGTCTGTCTTCTGAGTTGGGTGGGTAGCGCTTGAAAAATCATGTAACTTCCTGGTGGTTTAAAGTGGGTGCAAATCATTAATTAGTCTGATGTTACTGCCTTACTGTTAGATGTGGAAATCCAAAGCATTCAGTAAAAGTGGGTTAAAACCAAGGTTTTTTGGGTTTGGTTTGTTTTTTTTGAGAGTGCCTTGTCGCTCTCTGAGTAGGTGAACACATTGTCTAGCTGTGTTATGGGAGTTGTAAATGAACTTTTTGTATGCTGTAGCAATGGTAGTCAAATTAAATTGTATACAGTAATTCTGAATTACAGTTACTTTGCTTACTGGTCATGCTTATGCAGTTGTCCTCTCTGGACTATTCACATGTCCTGTCTTCTGTGTGAAGCTTACTGTACACGGCCATGAACACAGACACTTGAACACCTGCTCTGTTTTTGTCCTGGGAATTGGATAACTACGTCCCTGTCATTTCAGTGGTGTTCAGGGTTTTCTCCCCTTGGCAGTCTGTAACTATTGATCTGTTACTCAGCCACTACTGTTGACAGGCACTTGCTTGCTGCTAGATAAGCTTCCATGCTGATTCAGATTTTATGCAAAGTTCATGAATGCTCAGTGTCTCATGGGATGATTGGAATCTCTTCTAATACCTCCTAATAGTGTTTATCTAATGCACTGTCTAAATAAACCATTAAATGTAGATTCTTGCTTTCTGAACTCACGGATAGATGTTTATGACAATTTAGCAAATCATTTATTCCCAACAGTTGTTCTCTGTTAGAAAGATTTTAGATGGAACTTTCATTTCATAAGATACAAAGTTACTTAAAAAGAATAATGTTACAATTTTCTATTCTGATGATATTTTACATCATCATCTGCAGTTTTTGGTGCCACAGATTAAATTTACATTAGACAAGACTCACCAGAGCCCTCTGTTGGAGGGTTTAGATTCACTGCCAGGATGCATGCTTAGTAGTGACCTGCTCTCAGAGCTGAAGTGCCTACCCAGGCCAGTGATGGTGTGTGAGCAAGAAACACTGGTAGAATCATAAAATGTTTTTAGGTTGGAAGGGACCTCTGGAGGTCCTCTGGCCCAACTCTCTACCCCTTTAAAGCAGGGCTAACTCGTGTCAGGCTACCAGGGCCTTGTCCACTTCAGTTTTGAGTATTTCCAAGGATGGCTGTCCCACAACTCCTCTGGGCCTTTGTTGCCATGTTTGATTACTCTCACTGTGGGGATTTTGTGGGTTTTTTTTGTGTTGTTTTTTCCTAACATCTAATTGAAATTTCCCTGCTTGTAACTTGTGTTTGTTCCCTTTTGTCCTATCATTGCTCACCACTAAGAAAAGTAGTGTTAATCCTGTTTGCAGTGTCAGCTTTATTTGGTTCCGTTACCAGCACAAAACATTCTGGTCTTATCATAAGACCATTCTGAACATTGTCTATTTTGAACAACGTGTAGTGATTAACAGAAACTTAACCACTGGCACTGAATTGGACTTTATCAGTACAGCTGAAATAGTTCACAGCTGTTCTTTGGTTTCTGTGTGCATATGCTGCAAGGACTGCAGAAGCAACACCACTGACACTGCGTAGTTTTAATCTTTAAACATAAAATAAATCTAGCCTGCTACAGAAGGCTTATTCTGTAATCAATTTCCAACCAAGCAGTAATATCTCAGTGTGGTTGCTGTCACTGTTACTTGTGCTGAGGAATTACCTTTATTTATCAGTAGAGGACCTCTGGAATTGGTAACCTAATAGGTACTGCTGTTTGAGAACATGTCTGGGCCTGCATTCGAATCCGTTTTCTCTGCAAACAAACCTATTTGGGTGCACAGTGTGCCATACTGAGGTACAGGCGGGCTGGAGGCAGTTCCTGGAACACAGCAGCAGTGCAGGAGCGTTAGTTTGAGCTCACACTGTCCCCTGGACGATCCCTCAGCCTTTACCAGCATTTGATGTTAAAAGCAGCAAGTATAGAATTGGTGGGAGTCCAATCTGTTATGGCAATACTATCTGAAGATAGGAGTTGAAATATGCCATGTTTTGTCTGCTTCTAGGCCTGTATTTCTAAGCATAATATAAGCTTACTTATACAGTGTTGACTGTGATGGCGACACAACTACAAGGAGGTGAAAGATTGCCATTTTAGTCTGCCTGCTATTTCTCCGTTTTCCAAATCCCATAACTATTTTTTTTTCATAGAAATGACAGTGCTCTCAAGTATATATATATATTATTATTTTTTTTTAATATTTTTTTCCCCTCTCTCCACAGTTCTTTGCCTTCGTGGTTACCTCCTGCTATGCTGGAAATACGTATTTTAGCTTTATATCTTGGCGATCACGAACTTTGCAGTAAATATTTTGTTAAAATGAATTCTGTACTATAAAATATCTTGAGGATTATGCTCTTTTGACAAAAGCTTGGAAGAGGGATGAGGTCTTTTTGAACATTTCTGTTAGAATTGACAATATATTTTAAGCGGAGATTAAATAATTATTTATAATACAATTCCATCTTTAGAGACATCTAACACAGACTTTGTACTGTATAATAAAATTTTGTACTGCTTCTTTTAGAGTTAACATAGTATTTTTCTAGATATTGTATAGATGTTATTACTAAACCTTTAATAAATCTTACTCAGACAATGTGCCAATCTTGTAAATGTAACTTTTAAAACATTACAGGTATGCTTTTGATATTGAATGCTACAAATTAAAATTTATACTGTCTCGCTATTATATATTAAAAGCGACATTGTGCAGAAAAACCCCACCAAAAACTTTAAAAATAAATAAATGAGTGAACTGTGCATGTTTTGTAAACTGGGAGAAGGTTGCTTTTTAAATGTCTTTTCCAGAGTAAAATATATGCTACTAAGAATTCTGATGATCCTGTCAGTGTGCATATTCTAGCAGTTTCTCCTGATCATTAAATTGCTCTTGGAACCTGTTACTGTAGGTCTGAAGCTCCCTGATGGAATGTTGCACCTGAAACACATTATCTTAACAGGTTTCTCAAATCCAGCAGACTTCAAGGCAAAAGTCTAGACAACAGTTCCTTAGTGCTCAGTGTTTAACCTACTGAGAATATCACAAAACAACTATGAAAGGTAATACATTTTGTTTCTCAGGGAACTGTGTTCTTCTCTTTTCTCCTCAGATTAGGCCATTAATCTGTCCTAATTAAAATCTGGGTTTCTAAATCCTATTAAATGATAGAAAGATTAAATCCATAGAAGAACTGTCAAGACACCAGTGCTAGAAACAAAGGATTTCTTCCCTCCTTTCTTGTCTACTGGCATTGTCTGTGAGCTATTAGTTTAACAAATGCAGTTTTTAATTTGATGCTTATATTTAAATATCTTTGAGTCAAGCAGAAGTGTGACAGAAGATTATGACTTTCAAAACAGATACCTTTGAAAATTACTTTCATATACAAATTATCTAGGGAATTTTTTCCAGGAGTTATTTGGAGGGTATAAGGTTGTGATTATTTTGTGATATTATTTAAAGCTTTCCTCATTTAAAACTACTGGTAAATCTTTTGTTCCTTGATTAAGAAGATTTGGATTCCCTTCCTGTCTTCAGAAACTGAGTTGGATGATTATATATTGTAGTAGATAAATCTTCCTGCTTAAAAAAACTTCTTTTTCTCCCTGTAACTAAATGGTGTGTGCATGCCCTGCAGCAAAGATGACTTATCATCAGCCAGCTAATTCTGTCCTCAATCACATTGTTTTATTCTTGATTATCTAGTCACAGGATTTCAGTGCAAGGGAAGCCAAGATATTATTTAAAAGCCTATATTTGTCTGCAGATTGCATCTGGCCTGTACAACAAAGGTCAGGCTGTCTGCTGCTTGCTAAAATTACCCAGTTGTGAGAAGGAAGAAGGGCTACCAACTATGCGTTTTATCTACACAGATAAAATGTGTCATTAAAATCCCATATGCTCTTTTCCATTGCTGGAAAAAAATCAAAGGCGTAAAAATGATCCAAATGTCAACTGATAAAATATGACTAGAAATATAGCCAGAATTAGCATCTCATCAGTGATTTCTCATCAGTAAAAATGCTTTCATAGTAATAGAAATTCTTCCTTAAATGATATTTGATGTACCGGTCTGAAGTCCAAAGAACGTGACAACGTTTGCACAAATGTTTCATGATTTTGTGGGAACTGCAATGGTCTGGTCTGAAGTCATAACCCAGACAACATTTGTGGATAGAGGTTGTAAAGAGAGAGCAGAGTTAAGACAGAATAATATGTTTCATCCAGTTTACCAAAAACCCTCACGGAAGCTGTGTGTTACGTGTCAGAACAAACCCATTAATGGGTTTATTAACCCATTAAAAGGACAAACCCACACTGTTAACAGATGAAGAATGATTCTGGCAAAATATCTACCACCTCTGAGCCTTCAGTGCTGATCCTCAGAGAAAGATTTTTGGAATATCTTCCAAAGGCAAATCTGTGAGTTGAATCCTTAGTTCTGAATTTTAAAAAATATGTACTAGACAGAAATTAGCTTTATGCTTGGCCTTGCCTTCCCCCCCCCCCCCCAAGCCGCAGCTTATCTGCCTTGCTCTTTCCTTTTAGAAAGATAATTATTTCACTTCCCATGCTTCTTCTCATCTGTCTCATTTCTCGGCTGTTCCCCAGGTACCAACTGTCTGTTTTTCAAGCGTTCTAAATATCTAGTTAAAATTGGAGGAATCGGAACAAGCTGAGAATTACTTCTGAAGTTTGCTCCTCCCATTTCAGGCCTGAAGAAAGGCATAAGCATACAAAAAGTTACCTGTTTCTTCCAGCGCATTAGTCTTAAATACTGATTTGCAAACTATGACTTATGCCTTTGTATATTCTAATACTGATAAGATAAGCTAGCTGTGGTTTATCATGTAACAATTAAAACAAGACTTGTGGCTGCAGGTATTGCTTAGTGTTCATAAGATTGAAAGAAACCTTATTTAAAAGAACAACTGGTAAGTGATGAAATCATTAGTGAAATTCTTAATACAGGTATTTAGAAGAATAAACAAAATGCTAGTCAACATGTAGAATGAAGGTATTTGACATTATAAGTAACTTGTTTCAGATGGTTTTTGAAAAAATTTAAGTCACCCACGTACATTAGGATACTTGATATGAACTTATGGCCATCAAATTTCATTTATTAAGGAGTTGTCACTACCTCTTATCATAATACATGATGCACTTAACAAGATGAAGTAGTAGTATGAGAAGTATAATTAAAAACTTAGATTTCAGCAGTGTTTTAGACTGACTTTGTGCCAGTGGTTTACAGAAGATGGTTGTATTTCTGAGTAGAAAATATGACTGTTATTCTACTTGTATAAATTTAAAGGTATTTCTGTTTCACTGGGCTGAACTCAGATCAGCAGGGCCCCAGTCATATACACCCTTTCAAAAGAAGAACTAAAGAAGCTGAATCAGTGGATAAGAAAAGTGTATTTCTTAATAGGAAGTACAGAAGTTACTAGAACCTTCTTCCACAGAGCTTTCAAGAAGCCTCTAACTGTGCATGCTTCTGATCTGTAACTGTAAGAAGAGGGGACAAAAAGCAGCTGTTTTTAAAAAAAAAAAAAAAAACAACACCAGAACACCACCACAAACAAAAACCAAACAACTCTCAACAGCCAACACACTACTGTTGTGCAAATGGGCAGTGTATTTGGTATCTAATGAAATGAGATAAAATTTGATGGGACAGGTAATATCTTTTATTGTGACTACTTAATTTGGGCTTAATAGGAGCCCAAAACTATGTACTGCTTAATCTTATCACAGACCATTGCCTACACGGGCAAACCCTGTCTTGCTCATATGAACTATTTATGCTAGCCCCAGACTTGTGTTGGAGATCATCTGAACTTAGCTGTCTGCCCTCCTAAGGTAATTTTAATTGCTGAAGGAGCTATTAAATACTAATTATTAACAGAATGTGCATCCTAACTGCAGAGCAGAGCAGCAGCTGGGGTTGCCACCCGAATAAAGCAGCGTATGCCCACCTTGGAGGCCTGCCCCTAACCTCACTTGTCAAAAAGCAGAACAAGTTATTTTTAAACTTGAGGAAATACACAGCTTCCTTTGCCGAGTTTTGTTAGTATCTCTGCATGCTTTAGTTCAAACAAGGGAGGGTTGAGACACAGGGACAGTTGCTCCACTTTCGCCTGTCGCTGCCCGTTTAACGCAAATGTTTTTTCACGAGGTTTTGGGGGGTGAGAACAAAAACGCGTTGTGTGGGACGGCGCTGTTTGCAGCCCTCCCTCCCTCCCCTGCGAAGCACCGGGGCAGCTCCCCTCCGCCACCCTCGCCGACGAACTTCGCCAGGCCGAGCTTCCCCTCCCGCCACCCCGCAACCGCCGGCGGGGCGTCCCCGCTCGGAAAAGTTCTCCTCGGCCTCTCGCTTCACGTCCCGCAGCCGCAGAAAGGGGGGACGGAGTCCCGGCACGACCGCCCCGGCCCCCCGCTTCCCCCCCCCGCCCCGCAACGGGCGAGCCCCGGCGGCTTCTCCTCGCCCGGCCCCCGCCGGGGCGGGCGGCGAGCGGGGAGGTGCCGCGATCCGGTCCCGCCCCGTCCCCGTCCCCCTGTCCCGGGCCGGGCAGCGGCGAGGGGAGAGCGGGAAGGAGCCATGTCTCACGGGGGGCGAGTGATCCGCACCGGGGTGAGCAGCGGGGGGCCCGCGGCCCCACCGGCCGCCAGCGCCTCCTCCTCGGCGGGCTCGGACGCGGAGCTGATGGACGGCGCTTATTTCCGCTCCTGCGCCGGCATGCTGAAGGTGGCCCAGATGGTAAGGGGCGAGCGGGGCGGGGGGCGGCCCGTGGGGACGTTGTGGGGGACCCTCGGCCCGCGCGGGCGGGCGGGGCGGTGGCCCCCGGCTGGGTCGTTTCTGTGGGCGACGGGGCCGGAGGGTGTCGTGTCGCGGGGTCGCAGCTCCTCGCCGGTTTGGCCGCTGCGAATTCAGCCCTCGGGTCTCGCAGCTGGCCGGGGGAGAAGGGGAAGCCCCCGGTTCCCCTGGCAGAGCGGGGCGTCAAGGCCTCACCCGAGCCGCCCTCGCCTTCTCCTGAGGCGGCCGCGCGCGCTTCGTGCGTAACGCCGCTCGCTCGAAGCCCCGCGTGGTGGTCTGGCTTTGGCCACGGGTAGCTAACGCCAACTGTTAACAACTTTTTCCGCCGTTGATAATAACCGTGGCGACGCTGGGATGGAAAGGCACACCAGGGACGCCTCGTTCTCTAGCGCGGGTAAGTCTCTGTGAGGAAGCGGGGCCCAGTGCCGGCGCCCGCAGCGGGCTGGTGGAGGTGGCCACCGTGGCGGAGGCTGCTAGCCCAGCCGGCTCCGTGCCCTGTCTGTCAGAGACCTCCAGGCAGGGACCCAGGGGGGGATCTGGGAGGTGAAAAGCAGAGATTCGAAAGAAATCGATAGCAGAACGCTGCCGGCATTTGAGCCCGATGCCTTAACTTGACTCAGCGCCGGAAACTTTGCGCCATCCAGATGTGGAGAGGATTCACAGATGGATAAGCTCTTTCTCTTTTCTGTGGCGCATAATTGTCCATGGAGTGATTTTTCAGCTTAATTCCAGTAGCGGTAGTGAGTAATGGCTAGAAAAGAGTGTAGAACACAGGCAACACGCAGCAGTATTTCTTCACATACATTGTCATCCTCTTGTTGTACTTTGACAACATTTGATGCTGGAGTTGTTGCCTTCATTTTTTATAAACCCCAATGCCCTTTTTTTCCCCCCTTGCCTTTATTTGCCTAGTCATTTTTTTAAAACTTGTGTAAGTTACTAGCATCCAAAGTCCTAAGCTGACGTTAGAAGTTGGGAATCTTTTTTGTTCTTGGTTACTGTGGAGTAATATAAAATCCTAAAGTTTCTCTTTAAAAGCTGCCCAGTTTCTACCAGTTCATTAATAGCCATCAGCTGCCCTTAGAAATGAGCCTTGCTAGCAAGAGACAGAATTGGGTGTGAGTGGGCATGGCTACCTGCTCCTGCTGAGCATTTGTGCTGCGCTCGCGAGACCTCCGGGCCATCCCTGGCTATGAATTCAGTTCGGCGGTAATACAGATGGTTGTCTGCTGCCTTCTCTTCCCTTGGGTTGCTCCCAAACCGGTGTGTGGATCTGGAGTATCTTTTCAGGAGACAAATGACATTCTTTTGATCACGTGTCTGCATTGCAAACAAACCTGTAGTTCTAAAATGGCAGACTGAGCTAAAACGGTAGAATTAGCTAAAAGTCTGCTTATCATTTTGCTTTCACTGCTGTGGAAAGAACAGTTCCTTTTAAGAACTAGAAATACGTAGTCCTCTGCTCTCCATCCTGCTGTGGTGTCGCTACAGCTATGACGTGTGATTCTTGCAGCCAGCACAAGTGTGCTTATTTGTGCTGCAATTTCAGGTTTCGGTGCACATGTAAAGTGTGTATGTATACTTTACATACTTCACATATTTTTATGTAATGTATGTAAATCTATAATTTTATGTAATTCTTCACATACTCTACATAAAGTAATAGTTTATCGGTGCTGTTCAATATCAAATTCATCAGAATTTAAGCTATTGGCTTTCTGAAGTGACTTTAATAGAAGTTAAAATAATGTAAATTAGTTCCCTGTAGCACCCTTTCAGCTTCACCTCCCTACATTTTTTTCTGCTTTCCAGCTTGCCTGTACATAACATCAGTAGGAGTCACCTCAGATATCCAAGGAACTTCAGGCAAATGAACTTCTTTTAACATGGTATCACAATAGTGTCTTCTTCTCAAATAATTCCTTAAGAAGACTAAACATTTGTGCTGCAGTGTGTGGAAATAACCAGGATAGGTTAGTTCTAGACTAACTCCTGCACCCAATAAAATACAGAGAGCCAAATGTTTTCACAACTCTCCTTTACCTCTTCTCAGACAGTGTTCCCACTATATCCATGGGTCCATTTGTATTACCATGCAGTTCTAGTAAGAAGTGTTTGCAGTATCGTTCTGGGAAAAGAATTCTTTATGCTAAATCTATAAACATTCCTGCATGTTGATGTGGCTGGTGGGACTGCAGCCTTACTAAGAAGGACAGCTGTTATGCTGGCAGGGAACAAAGGTGAGGCCTTTTGGAGTAGACATATAGCACACTAAATTCCATGTTGGGCCTCTGAATGGTTGTGGTTATGAAGAGGGAACATTACTGTTTCTGTTTTTCTTCCTCACTCCCTTTTACCAAGAAGTGAATGATGTGAGAGAGAACAAGAAAGAAACATTTCATCATTTACTGTAATGTTAAGGGCTGTTTGCAGTGCTTGCAAGCTAAAAAAAAAATTGATTGCATGTATATGTGCATGAAATAATTCTAATAGATTACAACAATATGCTATGGAAATTATACAAAGGAAATTGAAGATAATGTTGCAGCTGTGCTTCTGTAAGAAAGATCATGACACATGGACTAAAACTCAGCAATCTTGGACAAGATTAAGAGATTGTACAGCAATCTGATGATTACTGAATTGTTACTGGTATCTAAATGTTACCAGTGCTTTCTCTCCAAATTCTGGGTGCTGTGGTGTTTAGCATTGAATGAAATTAGGAAGTAAAAAATGTGTTTCTTGCCTGCAAGCCTACACAAATTCCTTTACTTTTTTGCTGGAGAATTTCTTTAACCTTGCAGAATGATTATAGCTTTGAAAATATAATGCATTTTATGCATCAAGTTCCTGGCTTTCTAATGCTTAGGGAATGGTCTGTAAATATTTTGAAAATAAAATGGAGGAGAAAACATAGTTCTATGACTTGTGTATTTTACATGGCAGTAAGAAAGTTTGAAAACTCTTCCAGTGCGTATTACTAATGTTAGTAAGGGCTCCATTTTCAAAATCCTGTCTGAATTGACGCTGTAATTTTAACAGGAAGTTAAGAAGTATCTTCAACATCTAGCCCACTTCAACTGCTTTAATTTGATGGTGATTAATACAGCTTTTGCCTTTTTCTTTTCTTTATTTCCTTTTTTTTTTGTTTTTTGTTTTTTGTATTTGCAGTTTTGTCGAGGTCTCCTTTATATGGGGGGATACATGCAGAATCCCATTGTGGCCACCTTGGTTCTATAGCAGCTGTGTGCTGAGTAAGTGTGTGAGCGGGTATGTGTCAGTGGGCACAACACACTGACACCAGAGATGCTAAATAACTCGAATTTTAGCCAACTCAGGAAATTTGACGTACATGGCAGTCTTCAGTACGCCACGCTAACTGTGCTGATTTGTTTGAAGCACATTTGCTCTGTGTCTGTGCTACTGCTGGCAGTATTGTAAGACTTTCTTGGAACCTAATGGGCCTTAACTTGGTGAGCTCTCAGAAGATGGGCTCTTGGAAGCCTTCTGAGACATCCTGTGCCATTAGCGACAGCGGTATTAATTTGCATCCGTGTTGTCACCAGGGTGCTTCAAGTGGCAGTGTTCATGGATTGAAACAAGTCTGGTTCAGCTGAATTTCTTGTGAGGCCCTTATGTGCCTTTTGTATTTTTACAACCGAAGTCTGGAGGATGCCACAGACGCTCTATTGGACTAGGTCCCGCTTTCAGCACAGCCCATGTTTGACAGTGGAGCCTCTGCAGGTATCCCACCACCTTAGGCAGTTGGCTGTGGTTGTATCACCTGTCCTAAGTGCAGAGATTTGCAAGAGTGTGACCGATACAGAGTGAAGAGAGAAAAGAGAGCTCATGTGTAGAAGGAGAGCCATCGTGGCACAGCACATGCTTATGTCGAGCTCTCTCAGGCTCCTCAAACACTTCTGGGACTGTTCCTTGTTTCTGGAGTCTGAGAGGTGCAGAGGTGGCCTGTGGCCTTTTTTGCCTCTCTTTCACCTCCTTCAGGTTGGGCCAAGATAACTTTGACCACAGTTCTGACTGAAGGTGATTGTTCCCACAATAACACTGCTGTTACCAAGTATACAATAGTTCTGGCACACTAAGCACAACTTCAGAATACAGGGTGTTTTAAGCTAAAAACAATGCTGATTCTTTCAGCTCAGTGTGAGCCAGGAAAGTGCAGTTTCACCAGACAGAAAAGAAGAAAATCAAAATTATTTTTTCAAGGCTGAAGAAAAAATTCACAAACAATTGCACGGTGAAAAAGGATAAACTCAATAAAAGTTGACTTAACAACATCATTTTAACTTGTCAGAAATGCTAAGGGAATAGTTAAGGTTTTTCTGCTCAGTATCTATTTAAATTCCAAAGTATGTCTTGACAAAAGCAATTACATACTTGATAAGTGAATGGCCAGCAAGACAGTCTATAATTCTGAGTAATTTTGAAGCATGCTGAAACCTCTCTGGGTTATTTGTGTACTGACATACAGCTGAATAATAGTGTTTGAGAGAATATTAATGTGCCTAACACTGAAAGCTACAAGATGCTGGTAGCTAGGTTGCTAGAGCCAAGATCAATTTCTGAATGAGTTGGATGATACCAGACAAATTTACTGGGGAGCTGAATTCAGAAGAAGTTAAAGTATGGAAAGCAAGCAAAATCTGTTAGTGGAAGTAAACAATTTCTAATCAAAACCATTGATACAGGGAAAGGAAATTCACAAAAGCGAATGATGCTTGGAATGATTTGAGAGCTACTCAGTCTTCTGACTTGATCTTGAGCCTGAAGCCTCTTTCTGTCCATGTAGGTGATTGAAGTAAAGCATCTAATTCTTTGCAGCAGTGCATCAGTGACGTATGATTTTGCCTGTATGGTAGTAATGCTGCTCAGTCAGAAGAGAGGGATTCTGGTGATACGCAGAGATGCTGAAACTGTAAGCCTGT